CTTTGAAATCTTCTGTTGAGCTCTTTTACTTCGTCACTCCTTCCATTCGCTTTAGCTACTCTGTGTTCAACGGCAAGTTTCAGAATCTCTTCTGGCATCCATTTTGGTCTTTGCTTTCTTTCTTGCCTTTTAATGGCTTTTTGCTTTCTTCATGTATGATGTCCTTGATGTCATCCTATAACTCGTCTTTGGTCATTAATGTTCAATGAGTGAAATCTGTTCTTGACATGGTCTTTAAATTCAGGTGGGATATTCTCAAGGTCTTATTTTGACTCTCATGGACTTGTTTTAATTATCTTCAGCTTCAACTTGAACTTGCATGGTCTCTTCTACAGTTAGACCCTGGCGTTGTTCTGACTGATGATACTGAGCTTCTCTGTTGTCTCTTTCCACAAATGTAGTCTTATCAGTGGATGTAATCTCTATTACAGCTTTTTTGCTGTTTACCCCCAAAAACTTCAGGCTTATTCTCTGAGAATGATACCTTTTAGTGTACTTTCACCAAAGTAGTTGCCACAGAGTTGATTCATTTCATGAAAAATGTTTATTTTAAAGATGGCATGGACACTTTTGTACGGTCAAGTGTGAAGCTGGGTACTAGATACTTGAGGAGAAAGTCGTTCATTCTGATTTCAGAAGTTCTTCTGTTTAGAAATGAGACCTTTTTTAGGTTAGTGAGGAAGGATCAATTTCAGTTGTCTAATTTTCAGCCATGGAATATTCTTAGTTCTTTAAATAGTAAAATGAAAACAAAAGCAAGAGTTCCAAGACAATTATGGGAACGTCATGTATTATGTGAAGGTCACCAAAAAATCCTCTCTCTCTTTCAGGGGACACTTATCTACAAGTCTTTTTACATTTAAGACAAGTGGTAAGCCTTTCATAGACTTTTTAACATATAATTTGTATAAAAGTTAATATTGTTTGAACAATGACTGTATGCTAGGCACTATGCCAGTTGCTTTTTTTTTTTATACTTTCTCACTTAGCCATCCCAATAGCACCATGAGGTAAAGGAAGTACTTAATAATATAATGAATAGAATAAATTGCAGATGTTTATAGTAATTGGAAAATGATCATGTAAGCAAGGAGGAAGGTTCCAAAGCAGTTTGTCAGAAGTAATTAATTCATTCAACAGAAGTATTTATTGAGTGCCTTTTATTTGTCAGGCACCGTGCTGGTGCTAGAGATCCCATAGTGCCCTCCTGGAGCTTACATTCTGGTGGTGAGAGATTGACAAGAAGCAAATGAATAAGTAAATAATTGTTTACAGTGTGCTATTTACAGTATGATAAAAGATGTAGGAAAAAACTGCAGGGAATGCAGGAGGCACCGGTTTGAAATTTTAAAGTCGGGGAAGGTCTGATGGCAAGTGTGCTTAGGAGCAAAAATGTAATGGAGGTAAGGGAGTGAGTCACATCATCTGCTCACCTGGGGTAGGGTGTTCCAGGGAAAGGACAGTGTATCTCCACTTGACTAATGATTATTGCCTGTGGATAAATATGTTTGCAGGTTTCCTAAACAGGACATAAAGACGGACATTTGCCCAAGAAACACATGCCTAGCTTTGAAGTTTTTCTATTATAGTGTATTATTAGCATAAACCCATTGCCATCGGGTCAATTCTGACTCATAGAGACCCTACAGGACAGAGCAGAACTGCCCCCACAGAGTTTCTAGGGAGCAGCTGGTGGATTTGAACTGCCGACCTTTTGGTTAGCAGCTGTAGCTCTTAACGACTGCGCCACCAGGGCTCCATGTTATATGTTAATTAAAAGTGCAATAGAAAGTTTGCAGCAGGCAGGTTTATATAGATTTTGAATTTATATCTGGAAACCAGATTACGTTCTTTATTTCAGGTTGCTATGGAACGTTGGGGATGGAATCTGGTGTAATCGCTGACCCTCAGATCACTGCATCATCTGTGCTGGAGTGGACTGACCACACGGGGCGAGAGAACAGCTGGAAACCTGAAAAAGCCAGGCTGAAGAAACCTGGACCCCCCTGGGCTCCTTTTGCCACTGATGAGTATCAGTGGCTACAGATAGATCTGAATAAAGAAAAGAAGATAACAGGTCGAGAGA